CGGGGCTAACCATCACTGTTCCCAAATAATCTCATGCTGCATTCGCTGGTTCCCGGACTTCATGAATTCAAGCGACCTACGAGGCTGGCATCCCGCTCTCACCCTTTCACTGTTGAAACTGTTAAATATAGCCGTCTCTTCTACTCCAAAGTTCATATCTCGCACCTCTCGCCTGTGGAACTCCCTTCCCTATTCCTGTTTCCTGAGAGCTATAATCTCCAACTATTCAAATGTAATGTCAATCGACATCTCCAGTTGCCTTGATATATCCACTATCCTTCTCCTCATCCTTTCCTCTATCAGTCCTATCTGATCTTGCTCCAAATCTTCTGTAACCCCTTGCGTTCTAGTGGCTTCCCGACTTGCTAAGGGTGAAACGCTTAAAAAAAATAATTGTACTTCTTAATAAAATTTTAATCGCTTTACCTCCAGGGATAAGCATTATCCTTCCTTCCTAAATACTCTCATAAATTGTACTTCTTAATACGATCTTAACTGCTTTACCTTTAGGGCTAAACGTTATATTTCCTATATAATTTCATAAACTGTACTTCTTAATACAATCGTAACCGCTTTACCTCCAGAGCTAACTATCATCCTTCCTAAGTAATCTCATAAATTCTACTTCTTACTAAAACCTTAAACGCTTTAACTCCAGTACTAACCATTATTGTTCATAAATAATCTCATAAACTGTACTACTTAATACAATCTTAACCTCTTTACCTCCAGGATAACAATTAGCGTTCGTCAATAATCTCAAAAAATGCACTTCTTAGCACACTTTTAACCACTTTACCTCCAGGGTTAACGGTTATCTTTCAAAAATAATCTCATAAGCTGTACTTCTTAACTCGTCCTCCGCTCATACAACTTCATTCAAGCTCTGCCTTCAGTGACTCTTGGGGCTTGTATTGCGTGAGCATTAGTAAAGTGAAAGAAAGTGTTACTTCATAAACAAGCCTTTTTTGCTTAAAGCTGTAGAATCCAATGTAATTGATTTTCTACAATATAAAACAACAAACATTGCAATGTAAATGAAAATTATAACAAAGCGGATAGAAAATTCCATCGAGAAACTTTCTTTTTTACTGCGCCTTCCCTTCAGGCTGTAAAATGATCTTAATTTTCTCATTGCCTTTTCTTTATTTTCTGTCAATTCATATGTATTCTTGAAAAAGACAATGGATTCGTTTCTCGTTGCCATTAGACAGTTTGTAATTCAGATTTTTCTTTTCCTTAAAATGGTTGCTACACAAAACTAGAAAGTTCCGTTTAACCTGCTATTAAACCCATAGCTTGGGAGCGAAGAGACAGTTATTCTTTTCCCAAGGGCGTTAGTGCAAATGTGACAGCAACATAACCAGCAATTTACAAACGACTTGCACATCCTCAAATCAGGTTAGACATTTTGAAAATATGGTTTTCAGATGGATGAAGTATGATACGAGTTAGCAGTCTTGACAATATTTTTATGGAGGCAGAGTTTGTAAATAATGTACAGATTTTTACTAAAATCCCACAATCGATTGTTTTATTATGACAGACTCGAGGTGACCTTGAGATCAACTCCAAAAATGTATTTTATACTTTTTAATACTTTAGAGAGACAGAGAGAAAATGTGTTTCTCTCATTTAATGAAGAAAGTAAATTATTGTTGATTTACATTCTCAGGCTCATCTCAATTACATTATGAAACAGATTCAGAAAGGAAAAAAAGGATTATGCTGGGATTTCCTTAATGCAAATCACTTAAGTTTCATTTTTATTTTTTACACTATTTTTCATCATATGAATGGCCTAAGAGCCACTCAAGCAAGAGCGTTACTAAATAGAGTCATTTTATGCAGTAAGAGGAGAGAACAAGTACAAATAAAAGTGATATATAAGATAGATAACGACTGAACCGAAACTTGAAGAGGTTAAAACCTTAGTGATCGTCATTAGAATGCTGTCTGGGTGGAACATCCTTCTTACCAGTGGAATAAGAACGGAATGAGGTTGATTCGATTTTACCTACCTGGTATGACGTTTCTTAAATATAAAGGTCTGGACTAGATTTGAAGAGGTTAATATTACAAGATCGTAATGATCAGTGAATCATCCTCTTGTGAGACTGTTCCCAAAAGCAGCGGGAGAAGAACTGAATTAAAATAGCCGCTCAATACTGTTTTGAGTTGAGTGTAATTGAGCTTTTATAAATTGGTCTATCTTGAATCGTTTAATTACAAAATTGAATTCTTGAAGTAGCTTGAATTAATGCTTAAACGAAAGACCAGATATTTTCTCAAAATTTTCTTCAAATTTCCCCGACAGTGGTATAATGGATAGCGGCTCGGATTGAGGAACTGGAGAGCCGAGTTCGAATTCCAGTAGAATCCATTAAATTCACTTACGTCCTAATACCCTTGGGAAAGATATGAATCCTCTACTAGTACCCACCCCTACCCAGCTATGAGTAAATAGCAGGACAGACCGTGTTCTATAGCCTTGGATAGAAACTGGTATACAGCAGAAAGAAATGGCAACCTACTTCGGGAAAAATCTGCCTCGTCAGTCATGTATGGAAGGATGCGTGATTGCCTAAGCATGTATCGCACATGGTACATAACTAACTGACCCCCTATCCATACGAATTTAAATAGTTTTTTTAAAGCATTTCACCCCAAGCAAGGCGGGAAGCCACTAGGACGCAAGGGGTTACAGAAAATATAGAGCAAGATCAGATAGGAGTGATAGAAGAGGGTATGAGAAGAAGGGTAGTGGATAGATCAAGGCAACTGGAGATGTCGATTGATATTACACTTGAATAGCTGGAGTTTATAGCTCTCAACGAAACTGGAATAGGGAAGTTCCACAGGCGAGAGGTGCGAGACATGAAGCTATTAGAGTAAAAGAGACGGCTACATTTAGGAGTTTCGACAGTGAAGGGGTGAGAGTGGGATGCCAGCCTCGTAGGGCGCTTGAACTTATGAAGTCTGGGAACCAGCGAATGCAGCTCCTCGGAGCAATTACCATGAAAGTATTTGTAGAACAGACAGAAAGAGGCGACGGCGCGTCTGTGAGAAAGTGGCTGTAGACGAGATGCCAGAACAGGGCCAATTATATTGCATATCCGCCTCTGGAGCCTATCAAGAACCCCGAGGCAAACAGAAGGTACACCAGACCATATATGGCAGCAATACTCCATGCAAGGGCGAATTGTTGATTTGTAGATCTGGACAATTCGCCCTTGCATGGAGTATTGCTGCCATATAGGGTCTGGAGCCCCTTCTCTTTGCCTCGGGGTTCTTGATAGGCTCCAGAGGCGGATATGCAATATAATTGGCCCTGCTCTGGCATCTCCAATTATATTGCATATAAATTAAATTTTTGTCAGTTAGCTTCATTTTGCTCTAAGTCCTCATGACCAACTACATCACTACCAAGCCAAATATACGTAGTCGTCGACAAACAAAAGCCATGTTTTACTGTCTATAATGATAGCGGCCATATATGTTTATTAAAAGTAAATAATAGATGCAGTGTTTGATAAATAACTCGCAGAACAGAATTAGGCACACTGGCTGATTCTTTTTATAAGCATCATTATTAACTGTTTTCGGAAAAGGATGTTTCAGAATATCTCGTTGTGATCACGAGAATAACTTCTAGGCAAAGTTTTTTTTTGAAATACAATCTAATAAGTTGTTAACGTCATCTAAAATAATATTGTCGTTTCATTTAATAAAACATCCTGAGGATAAGTCTAGAGTACTCAAGAATAAAAACCTTATCCGGCACTTGTCAATTTCGATCCAGATATATTTATAGCCAAAAAAAATATAGCAATCTTTGCGATAAACGGAAACGTTGATGTCAGAAATTTGCCTAAATAGATTATAGAGTTTTTATTTAAAAAAAATTCTTTTCTCTGCAAAATAAAGCTATTGCTTGTGACAAATACCACTGGATACGTACCTCATTGAAAAGGCGGGAAATGCAATATGACAAAGAGATTTAAAATATTAATACATAGAGGGTGAACTTTGGCTTTCAAGAGCATTACATTTTACGTCTTTTTACTATCTATTTCCCTCAAAGTTAATTTGATAATTTCTGAATGTTTGATTATTCTAAATAAGATAAAATATTTTAGCTATGGTGGCGCTCACGGACAATAATTTTTCCGTCTTCTGGGGGAAGAGTTCATACTATTCGTTTCTGTATAAAGCGTTTATTTCAATACAACGTAACACCATACCTAACTACAATCAATCGTAATTCTGTTCAAAATTCTAATTACAATAATTATTTGTGTCTGAATTTCTCGGAAGCAGCGTTATCATTATTCAGATTTTTCCAGTTGGACTAATATTCTGATCTTTATTGTTTCATTGTCAACACGTTTGTATTGAAATGAGTATTCATTACTTGGTGATTGAACTCACCAATAATTTTCCACGTGAGAATACCCTATGGAAATAAAATCTTTAGTTCGTGAGATTGGTGGCACAAGAATTCGAAGTTCAATTCATGGGTGAGGTAATATAAACTAACACTGAGTAGAAAGAGAACTAACATTAACTAAACAGTACTTAAAAAAAGAGAACACGAAGACATCTCTGAACATAGACAGTGCAGCGAGAACAAACTGCCCCAGTTGATTAAATAAAGTGTTCACCAAATCCATGAAGGTTACTCGGATCAACAGGCAACTGAAGAAGGCCAGAGAAACAATAGCCGAAGCGATTTGTTACTAAGAGCAAAGATAATAACATTAGTCCGACTGTAAATAATCTAAATAATAATGATTTGTCTACCTTGATGAACTCTCTATTGGGTGTATTTTAGTGTAAAAAAAACACATTTCTACACAGAAATCATCACGTTTCATGTCTCTTGATATGGGACACCATATTAAGTCTAACTTTGATGCATAAAGTCTGTAAATTTAATACTGAAAATATTTCGAACAGCTAGAGATTAACAACACAATACATTTCTATTAGTCAAAGTTTATGGCGATATCACATTGAAACATCGATTCTCGTACAATCACCGAAATTAAGCAATGTCGAACATGGTCAGTACCTAGATGGGTGACCGCTTGAGAAAATCAGGTGCTGTAAGCTTGGGTGTGAGGATGGGGTAATGGATAACGACTCGGAATTGGAAATCACAGAGCCGATTCCAGATCCAGTTAGGTTAGTTATATTCATATACGCAAATTCCTTTCGGAAAGGTATGAATCTACCTCTACCCAGCTATGGGTTAATTAGTCAGATTTGTATCAATAAATCATTATTATCTCCGAAACATTCTTACAACGTAAAAAAAAAGAAATATGGATTTAAACAACCAAAAAACGTTCATAGGCCGAATAGACGAATCAATCAATCAGATAATCTATTATCCGAAAGTGAAAACTGAACTGCATCAAAAAATTTGTCATTTTGAATGCAATTTATGAAATGCGATGATAATCGTTGAAGATTGTGCAATAGCATGTTGATTAATTTCTTAACTAAAACAAATCGCTTACTATAATAATAATAATTTCCCTGGGCACCACAAACATGACAGCTCTTAATTCTCGTTTTACTACTGCACATATTTACATATATTGTTATGTAAATCACGGTTTCAATTTTCAGCACGTTACACGCTACCCCCTTTTATAAGTTAAATTTTACGGCTAATTTCTGAGCAAATGATTAGTTTTATATTCCAGAGACGAATATGCAATGGGATAGGTCCTGATCTGGAATCTCGTCTACAGTCGCTTTCTCACAGACGTGCTGTAGATTCCCTTTGTCTCTTCTACAAGTATTTTCACGGCAACTGTTCCGACGAGCTACTTTCGTTGGTTCCCAGACTGAATAAATCTAAACAAGCTACTAGGTTGGCATATTGGTCCCACTCTTTCACTGTCGAAACGGTTAAATGTAACCGTCTCTTCTACTCAAACAGCTTCTTCTCTCGTACCACCAGTATGGGAAACACCTTTCCTCTTGTTTGCTTCCTTATAAATACAATCTTCACATATTCAGGTGTAATGTCAATCGACATCTTCTGATAACTTGATCTTGTTCCCCGTCCTTCTCTGTATGCTTTCCTCTAACACGCATCTGGACTCTTGTTCTCAATCCTCTGTAGCCCCATGCGTGCTAGTGGCACTCCCGCCTTGCTGGGGTGAATTCTTTAAAAAAAAAAACATGAACGTTTTTCATAGCTTTTATGCCGGACCAAACATATGGTCGAAAGTTTTACTCGTTTATAAATTTTCTGAGATTTAAACATTAATCGCAATATTTTTGTTTACTTTGATAATCGCCCATCCATCGATAAATTTCGATAGACGCAATTCTCGTTAGTGTCAATATTCTGGATAATCATTCTGCAGTGGTATCATCCGAGTTGGTCTAACGCACATCAGATCTAATAACGGTTTCCCACAGGGAACGCAGGTTCGAATCCTGCCGGAGAACGCTTATTCTCGAATATTCGGTAGATGGAATTAAATAAAATACTGTTTAATAAATATATAAAAACAGAACTTCTACTCAAATAGAAGTAACCATTTAAAAATAACCTTTAACCCTAGAACACTAACCATGGGTATATGCTACCCAGCGCCGATTTTCCTATTTTTAATTACAAGTTTCAGTACCTGATTTTCTTACCTAAATAATGATTTTCAGTTCCTTTTAATGTTAACTCAAAGTACAAAGTTTGAAGTGCCTGCATGTAAAATATTTCAAATAAAGGTTTATATGTAATTTTCATTTTTCTTTTTTTTTTTTTTTTTTGCTATTTTCAAGATCGGGTATGATATACCCATGGTTAGTAAGGATGTAAATTTAATTGATGGTTAGTGTACTTAGGTTAATCAAATTAATTTTAAAAGATATGTCGTATTTAACCCATTCTAATAATTTGGCACGCTCAAATCACCGTGCTGATAACAAATATGGCGCCAGTTCGTTTACATTACGCAGATCAGTACAAAAATTTCAGTGATTGCGCAGGTCAGTGTTGCCAACATTGTGTGAAAATTTTGTGTGAATTGATTAGACGGTTTTTGAAATATTAGAAAAAAGTTATCTTGATAATAATTTGGCACGCAGTATACAAGAACAGATAAAACGTTGCTGAGATTTATAATGGACAGGAAGTAGTGGAGAGCCATTGTCGCCAACAATTTGGACTCAAATCCGGCACTGAAGAATTATCCATTAAACAAAAAAAATTTCAGCGAAATAGGATGAAAACTGTAGAAACGCATAAACAACATCCGATCACACACATACGCACACACATTTTGATTTATATATATATATATATATATATATATATATATATATATGTATGTATGTATGTAAGATGTAAGAGTTAGCTGTTTAAAGCTATTAATGAATAATAGTTCGTCTAAAAAAATACAGACAACATAAGACTGGCAGGTCTACCATTTACTACGTGGAAAGTATATATGTTGCGAAAATATTTTATCCCAAATTTCGATGCTATATTATGAAATTAAAATCAATATCATGCTTAAAAGAAAAAGAAATTGAAAAGTAAGAAGCAAAAGAAAAAATAGAGAAAATCGTAACTATACTCGCAATTTCTCAACGTGAAAGTTGGTTGGATGAAAGCTTCACGTTACAAAGTGGAAGCGATTTATCACACACTACAAAAAATGGTACTGGCAAAAAGTAGATGTTCAAGGTTCTAAAAATAACCAGAAATGCCAAGAATGTAAAAGACAGATAATCCGTTTCATGCAAACAAGAGAGTATTATATCATTGACAACAAAGGAAAGAAGATATGTCAAAAAGTAAATGCAGCTCCGGCATCCGACCGCCTTGGGAACAACAATGAATGAGGTGAAATAAAATGAATACTTGACCTTGCTGAAGAGACTCAGATGTTATGAAATGAGAATGATTGTCATCTCTATAATTGTTTGATCCAGGCAAAGGTCACGAAGCCCTAAAGGAAAAGAATAGAACAAAATGGGATTCGATGAAAGATAGAAACGATGGAAGCTACAATCCAACTAAAGTCGATTAAAATAAACTATTAAGCCCCTGCTTTTTTTTTCTTTATTTTATTTTTTTAGTTTTTTTTTTTTTTTTAGTTTTCAGCCGAACACAAATGTCTTGGTTGAAGGAACGATAAAATTGTTAAGATAAGATTGATGCAAATATATTGAACTAGATTCAAGGAATTCATTAATAGACAAACGATAAGGTTGTTCTTTAGGTTGCTATATTTCTAGCTTTTAATTAAGGCTTGCTCGCATATAACGCGCAAGCTTTTATTCATGAAGAAAAACAAAAACAGAACGCTTGAAACATTTTAATGAAACGAATAAAAGTTATAAAATTTAATTCACAAAGAAAAAATACCGTATTTAGTTTGCATAAGGAAACTTCATGTATAGTACGACCCCTGAAATTTTTGCATGAATTTTAGACTGTTCAGAAAAAATACCGTATTTGTCGGCATATAAGATGCACGACTGTATAAGATGCGCCCCAGTTTCAGCAGGTAAAATCAAGAAAAAATTAGTAATTAATAAAATTAGTAAACCTACATGTGGCATATAAAACGCAGGGGGAATTTTAAAAGATAGTTTTAGTAAAAAAATAGTCCGATTTATATTCCGTGAAATACAGTACATGTGTATAGTGCCATCGAAAATACATGGGTTTTAACCTCTTCAAAAAATTACCTTTGCATAATGCAACTCTATATGTTTTACGCAAAGAAAAGATTATAAAAACTCCGACAATACAATTGGCAAGACAATTTTAACTGTCTAGATACAATTTGTTTCCAATTATTGAAATGATTGACTTGTGAAAATTCATTAAAAACATCTCCATTCTCAGAAAACCTCGTTGCCATGGTGACACGACACCTGCTTGCTTCGCGTACAATAAAAATGTACTCTTCTCATTTAGCACTTAGATGCTGTTTAGATATGAATTTTAATTTAAAATTGCTTGTTGTACCTGGGCGAAACGGATAGTTGCGTGTCTGCCACAATATTTCGAAAGCTGATTTTCAAGACAGTATCACTCCCCCTATCTGGAAAAAAGATGACCCATAATTTTCTTGTTTCCTCATTTAGCTTCTAAATATGTTAAGTTAAAAGAACTTAGCAAGTATCAAAACACCAATTACTTTGTAGAGAAATAAAAAGGCGGTGTCAAATGAACTATTATTGCAGGAAACAAGTGATGATGATTTGATTTGTTTTCTTGTTCGTGTTCTTAAATTAGAGTGACACAATATCACCCCGTAAAAATTCGACTGTAGTCGGGGATCATCGAATCAATTTAGCTGCATATGTTATTCGCCAGGGCTACATAGAGTTTTTAATTCAGAGTTTTCCTTCTCCTAGATCAGTTGCCACCCAAGGTTATAAAACCAAGTCTTTACTACTATTTATTAATGGGGAAGAGAGTTGAATTCATAACATTCCCAATGGTATTAACACATAAGTGAGTTCAATGAATTCAAGTGCGATTCGAATGTTTAAATTTACGAAATTATTTATAATCTTTTAGACTGCATTATTTTCATTTCAAGTCACCTTATTTGTGGACTTTGTTTTGTTGATTGTCTTGATTTGTTTTTATGGCTTATCAGACCGCTGTGCATTATTTAATGCTGAAACATATTTTAGACTGCTGAGGGTCACTTACACGAGGCGGTATTCCAAGTGGCTCCCCATCCAAGTACGAGGCTCGACACTTGAATTTCGGTGACCGAACGGGGACCGGTGTTTTCAGCGCCATTGTGTCTGCACTTAGGTAATCATAACACCGCACACATTCCTTGACTTTGTCATTGGTGAATTGCCATGAAATCATTGGAAATATAATGGATTGTCTTCTTCCTTCACTGTTTCGAATTCATTGATGTGGTTCTCGTACACTGCCAGTCATTTGATGTTAGTGAGTCCAGTCGATGCTGCCATTTAAGTTATACTTGTGAGGGGTAAACATGGGGATACATCTTACCTAAGAACATTAGTGCGAAAGTGAACGCAACAAACTAAACAGAAATTTTAACTCAGTTTGCCGATTAGAATTTCGAGCTAGCTAGCAACTACACC